AACAGGTTGAATGCATCTGAATAAGAAAACAAGGAGCCGGTGCTCCCTCCATGAGAGAGAGCATGGGAACAGAGAGCTGGCTTTCGGGCCAGGGTCCCAGAGAAGGGCCTAGCTACACATGGAAGGGAGCATAGGGGCCAGAAGGCAGTCAATGCCTTCAGGATTAGGAAACTGAGGCTCAGAGAAGTCTGCTCCTCCTCCTTCTCATCTCCTTCTTCTATTTGCCGATGGGGTTCAAGCACCTCTCTCCTCCACCATCCATCTTCTCATCAGTGGCTATCTATTGTTCAGGTGGGTCCCAGCTCTGCTTTTTGTGTTGGGCTGGCGCTCATTCTCCATGGCCATTGCTAGTACACCTCATCCTCTTCTCATCATACTTTGTTCTTTTGGAGACTGGGTCCTGAGAGAAATGATTCTTTCTCTCTCTTATTAATAGCCAAATATTAAAACTGGGGAGAGAGGGCTGATGGAAGACAGGATTAGCCTTCTTTTCATTCTGGGTATTACTACTCCACCCAACTAGCTGAAGCTTGGGTGGGGGATACAGATTCTCTGTCTAGATTGCCCAAGTCTGGGGGTGGTCTGGGTGTAGGGATAGTCTCTGACATGACATCACTCTCAGTCCCTCAGTGGAGCAAGCTCACTTCTCTTTGTAAAGTCCACCTCTCATTAATCGTTAACAATCAGAGCTGGTTGCCATCCTCAGGAATACTTCTCTTCCAAAAGGGCATACAAGCCCTGAGCCCACCATGATTGTCTTTGGTCTAAGAGAGGGATGGCCAAATGACCATCCTTTTATTAAAATGCTGGCATTATTAATAAAATGATGAAATTGCACAGAAATTATGTCTCTTGAACCCTTTTAAACATCATGGTCTCCTCCTGGCCCTGTTCCTGACCTTCCAGATACCTTCATCTCCTCCTTTTCACTTTCCCTTTGTGTGTTTTCTTCTCTCATCAGAATGGAAGTTCCTTGAGGACAAGGGACCATCTTTCTTTTTCCTTGTATTTTTTGTTCTCCTTCAATGAGGATGAAAATGGCATCAAGGTCATCTACCGTATTGATGATAAATTGTTTAACTTGAAAAGGCTACAAGCCAAGACTAAAGTGGAGGGAGTATTGGTGCATGGGTTTTTTGTTCACAGATGATTGTGCACTTAATGCAGCCTCTGAGGCTGAGATGAAACTATGGATCAAGTCTCTGCTGCCTGTGCTAATTTTGGCCTGACAGTTAACACCAAGAAAACACAGGTGCTCCATCAGCTACCACCACACCATCCATATGCGGAATCATCAGTTACAGCAAAGGGAGAAGTTTTGAATGCTATGGATAAGTTCACTTACCTTGGCAGTATACTTTCCAGGGGTGGACATACACATAGATGATGAGGTTGATGCACTCATTGCCAGAGCTAGTTCAGTTTAGGAGGCTCCAAAGGAAAGTGTGGGAGAGAAGACGTATTAGACTGACTACCAAACTGAAGGCCTACAGAGCCATTGTGCTGACCTCCTTGTTGTATGCCTGTGAAACCTGGACAGTCTACCAGCACCTTGCCAGGAAACTGAATCGCTTCCATCTGAATTGTCTTAGAAAGATTCTGAAGATCACCGGGCAGGATAAGGTGCCAGACACTGAGGTCCTTTCTCAAGCTAAGCTGTCAAGCATTCACACTCTGCTTCAGAGAGCACAGCTCCCCGATGGGCTGGCCACATTGTTCAAACGCCATATATATGCTCTTCAATAAGACTATTTTATGGCAAACACATGGTGGTCAGAAGGCAAGTGCTCACGTGGTGGTCCTAAGAAGTGATACAAGGACACTCTCGAGGTCTCTCTTAACAATTTTGGAATTGATTGTGTGACATGGGAGACACTGGCACAGGACTGCCCGGCAAGGCGTGCCCACATCAGAAAAGGGGCTATGCTCTGTAAGCAAAGGAAATGTGAGATGCCCAGATTTAGAGAATCCCCCCAAATGTTCACACGGACTGTTTGTGCCCGACCCGTGGAGAGCATTCTGAGCTCGTAGTGGTCTGTCGGCCACAGCTGGACACATTATATCTTGACCTCCACATAGTGGTGTCATTTTGGTCTTCTTCAAAGCTGAAGGACAACAGCCAACCATTTGTATTCCCAGGACCCAGCACAATGCCGGCTGCACGGTCATCGACGTGCCCAGTGTGGTGCTGGCTGGGTGCTGGGGACGCAAGGACCGTTCGGACCTCAAGGAGCTTTTTGGACTTTGCGATGCGCTTCTCATCTCCTGTTACGTGCTGTTTCTCCCTCAGTCTCTGATACCCATCACAGATTGTCAGATTCAGCACAGCAGATCTCCAAATCTGCTGTTGTGCTAGCTATCAATGGCACAGCCTTGGTTAGGGGCTGTAGCAGCTCAGGCACAGTCTCTGTCCCTACAATTCACCTTCCAAATTAGCCTTCTTACAGTAGACCCAGAGGCTAATGATAACAGTAATAATAATAACAACTAGCATTTCCTGGTGCCGGGCACTCAGCACGCTTTACAAATATCACCTCATTTAATCCTCACAACACCCCTGTGAGGTAGGTATGGTTATTATCCTCATTTTACAGTTGAGGAAACTGAGGCAGGTGGTGGTTGTGACTTAACAATGTCATACAACTCATAAGCATCTGAGGTCACATTTGAACTCAGGTCTTGCAGACCAAAAGCCCAGTGCTCTATCCACTAAGCCATCTAGCTGCTATCTGATCTTAGTAGCTTTTTCCATTGAAATTCATGACTTTTCACACACAAAGCATCATTCCCACTGGATCCCCTTCAGGACTCTTTCCCCCTCATTCACGATCACTTTTCTTGTCCCAGGGGGCTGCAGTGGAGCCTATGGACCTTCTTAGAAAGGCTTAGAATAAATACCTAGGGTTACAAAGGAAATCAGTTACATCAAAATATGTTGGAAAAAGCCATGGTCGTGGCCCCAAGGTCTGACACAGTCGTCATTGCTGAGTACTTCCTGCTCCCTTCACTTTTCACTCTTTAATGGACCTCTTTCCAGATTTCTTTGTATCACTCATCCTTGACAGCAGATTGCTGGAAAGTATCATAAAGTACTTAGTCATTCCTAATTGTTGCAATTGCCATAAGCAACCTTGGAGGGCTGGCTTTTTTTCAGTTACAATGTAACGCCACTGGAAATGTCTCTTAATAGGTGGCATTAGAAAAACAACTCTTTCATTGCTTCTTGGTCCTTTGGGGAAGACCTCTCGCTTCTGTCCACGGGGTTGTCTCAACAGTGGAATTAGGGACCAAAGGGTGTGATGGTTTTTGTAATTTTTACTGAAATTGTATAATTTTTCCTAGGGCATGATTATTTTTATAATTTTTGCTGGGTACTTCCCAATGCTCTACAGAAAGGTGTACGAGCTTTCAAGTCCACTGACAATGAATGAGTATGCCAGCCTTCCCATGAACTTGCCCTCGAAGAAGAGTTTAGCTCCTATAATTTTTGATGAGGGTGACCTTAAAGTCACTTTAATTTGCATCTCTTTGATAATTAGTGAGGCTGTCACGACTAATTATCAACACTGTGTTTCTTCTTTTGAGATTTGCTCTTCCTATTGCTTGGCCATTTGTCCACTGTGAACTAACTGCAAGCTGCCCCAGACTTTTTGACTTTGGTATTCTCATCCTTTGGCACCTGGAACTCAAAGCCTTCTAGGCCTGCCAGGGATAAGGCTCAGCCCAGTGTTCTGAGCTCTTCTGGATTCCACTTCCCACTGTCCTTCCACACTTATTACCATCCATGCCCAGGGGCACCTTTGGCTTTCCCCAGTCTTTCTTGATGCTCCCAGAGTCAGGATGGACTGCAGTCCAGTCCAGGCAGAATCCTGTGTCCTCTCCAAAACATGTCAAAACACCTGGTGAGCTGTCATCCAGGTGCTAGCCTTGGGCAATCTGCTCCTAGTACAGACAGCTCTAGTTGTTCAGAAGGTTTTCCTGACATCAACGCCAATTTTTCCAGGCTACAACACCCCTCGTGGCTGCTGGTTCTGCCCCCAGGGGCCAAGCGCTTTTACAAATACAATCTCACTTGATCTCACAACAGCCCTGGAAGGGAGGGGCTGTTATGATCCCCATTGTACAGATGAGGAAATTGAGGCAGGCAGCACTTAACTTGCCCAGGGTCCTCCAGCTGGTAAGTGTCTGAGGTCAGATTTGACCTCATGTCTTCCTGATTCCTAGTCTCATGCTCTACCCACTGCACCACCTGGCTGCTGAGTCTATTGTGGTGATAGATTCTGTTAATGTAGTAAACTCCATGCCTATTCTGCGAAGACACAGAGGATCTGCTACATTGACATGGGAGACAGCAAGGTTTGAAGGCCATCTGAAATGGTCACCCTCCACGCTTGTAGAGAGACACAATGTGAACATTCATGAAGCAATGAACTTGAGATTCCTGGGGCCTCTAGAATAATTTTGTATTGGAGGAGAGCTAGACCCAAGCCACATGCACCTGGGTGACGTTGGGCTAGTCATGGACCCATTTGAGGACTCAGTTTCCTCAACTGGACGATGAGAGGTGGGGTGGATGGCCTCTGAGGGCCCTGGTAGCTCGAAATCTATGATCCTGAGAGTCCTGTGACCTGGTAAGTAATGATTGGATGCAGTGGATAGAGATGAGTCAGGAAGACTAGCTGTGTGACCCTGGGCAAGTCACTTAAACCCGTTTGCCTCAGTTTCCTCATCTGTAAAAATGAGTCAGAGATGGACACAACAAACCATTCTAGTATCTCTGCCAAGAAAATCCCCAATGGGGTCACGAAGAGATAGATACGACAACAACTGAAACCCAGATGTTATAATCGCCAGACTTTGGGGACTTTTTCTAACACAAAAAGTTGAGATTTTAGAAATAAGCTTTAACACCATAATGATTAAAAACCAAACCCCAACCCCAATCTGCTCGTGGCATTATTCCAGGCCCAGGCTTTAGAACCTGGAAGGCCAGTACTCACCAATCACAAAAATAATCTTGGACTTCTTCAAATCTTCTGCAAGATCTGTCAAATTAAAACAATTTAAAAGTGATTTGTCTGGAAAGGCTCATTTGAAATCGTGATTTTGAGCATCTAAGGTATGTAGAAGCCTAAAACTCTTTGGTGGTTTGTTCTTGCTCCTACCAAGAGGACAGGGTCCTCTTCAGTCTTGCTGAGGGACAAGGGGTTGATGTAAAGAGGTCTTCCAGCACCATTTGAAAGGGGCCAAGCTTGTCTTAAGGCCTCTCCCACACTGTCCTGACTGCACCATCCCCACCTTTTCCCCATGAGGTTGTCAGGACCCTCGTGCTACCCGTGGCCCTCTTGGACACCCTAGGTTGGATTCCTCCTGGAAAGAATCCCATGTGTGCATAGGTTGTCCCTTTTTCTCCCACATAAAAATGTTCCTGGCCAGGGCTCCATGCCTCCAGGTCTTGGCTGGGTTAGCTTATTGGGGAATTCCAGAGTTGAGTGTTGGAAGGAACCAGAGTGGCCGTCCAGGTAAAACCACACTCAAGAGTTTCCCTTATCTCCTCTTAATCTGTCTGTGTGTGGGAGAGCTTCAGTTTTAACTTTGTATCCCTAGCTGACACCCAGCACAGTGCCTTATATACAGTAGGTACTTAATAATTGCTTATCAAATGAATGAACATATGAATGTATTTCATCATTGAATGAAACTTACCTTCCATGGTGTCCTCTCCAAAAACATTTATCTCGTCATCTCCCTGAAAAATGCAATAATTTACAAATTGAAAAAAGAGAATCATAAACATGAGAAAAAAATGTATTTTCTTTGTGTTTAACATGCACACAGAAAAATATTCAGATAGTTTGACCCTGAAATAACTCACTCCTTGTTGCTCACCAATGGGGGCAGGGACAGATGGTTGGAAAATAACTTCAAAATGAGCTTTATTTGTTATGATAGAATCTCAGTAATGAGAAGCCTGGGTGGCCTCCCAGACACCTCCCTGTGGTTTAATGCTTACCAATGTCAGCCAGTCGCGCCATCACAGCCAACATCACAGCCGCATCTGGTGTAGAGCCCCAGCCTGCATACTAACCATGCCTTAAGACCCAGAGAATACTTAGGGTTTTTTTTAATTTTTTTTTTAATTTTATTTTTTGCCAAACTCCCTCCTATCTCTCCCAGAGGTTTAGGGATTCAGGGTCATCTTAGGAGAATGAAGCAGACATTAGGAGGACTTTTCTGTTCTAAATCACATAGAAGCTTGGGGCAGAGACCTAGCTCTTTGTGAGCAGGAGGGAGAGGCTGTAAAGACTCATTTAATGCCTCATTTAATGTTCTGGGAGGAGCAGACTGTAGGGGCAGAAGGATCCTCTACAAGGCTGGACGGATCTTCCAGGGTGGAAAGGCTTTTGGGTCAAGGTGAAGACAGGAGAGGAGTGAAAGGGATAGCCAAAGCTCTGGGAACCAAGAGATTGTCCCTTTCCTCATGAGGAGAGAAACGTCTTTCCCCTAGTCTGATGCTGGGTACATGATGGACCCAGCTTCTCAAAGGGCTCAAAGCTTAAGCCTTTGGGCTAAGAGAACAGAAAGGTGGCAGAGCCCAGGAAGAGGCAATACCTTGGCTGAGGACTCGAAAGCCCCAGAACTCTCATTCAGCAGAGCCAAACCTGGCAGGGACTACCAGACCAGGAATATGCTGCCTGGTGGGGATGACACGATCCTTCAGACCAGTGGGAGCAGGGGATGACGTTATTGGAAAACCATGGGTTGGGTTAGACTTGTTCTTGTGTTTCTTACGTGTGTGCCCCTCTACACCCTTTCCTTTGGCACATCCACTCTTCTCCCCTAAGCATGGAGTGGTGGAATAGTGGGTCCCAGATTTATAGGGGGCATGTTCTAGTGCCCCCTATTATGGTGACACTTGATTATATGCCTTAAAAACTGTGTCCTCTGATTGACCAGTAAAAAAAAAATATGGGGGCTTGTGAGCTCGCTATCTTCCATAAACAAAAAGAGTGTGTTGATTGCTTTTTGATTGAACAATAACTCTTTCTATAATATACCTATATATAATATTATATATAATATAATATACCTATAATAAAACTTATAATATACCTTCTATAATATACCGTCCCTGAATGACAGTAACAGACCCCAAACTATCTCTGAGAATTTGACAAACAAACTCCTCAAGCATCATCACAAATAACTCTGTCACCTACAATTGCCTGGACGCAACACAGAACCGCAAACATTTAAGAGAAATATTTCAAATAGATAGCATTGTGCCCAAATTGCATGATCAGCCCAACTCTGAGGAATGAAAAGCTCCCACAATCTAGATTCTAGAGGTTCAGCAGGAGGAGGGATGAGGCACGCCCATCCTCCCCATGGCTTGGTCTATCCTGGAGCTGGCCTTCCCAAAGAGCCCTCTGTGAGCCTATGGAAGATGTGTGAGCTCCTAAGGCTGTTGAGAAATTACTTAAAACAAGGATTTTTAAGGCGTGGTTAGGTGGCACAGTAGATAGAGCACCAGCCCAGGAGTCAGGAGGACCTGAATTCAAATCCGGCCTCAAGACACATAACACTTACTAGCTGTGTGACTCTGAGCAAGTCAGTTAACCCCAATTGCCTCACAAAAAAACCCAACAACACAAAACAGGGATTTTAACTGCCTTGGGAAAGGGTGCAGAACATTCAATAGAAGTAAATAAATATCAGGATAATAACTTGTCCAAGGCTTGATTTTCTTTTTTGGTCTGAACTCCATGGAAAAAGATGAAAAAATGAGATTAATAATGATAATGATAATAATAATAGCTGACATTTATATAGGGCTTCAAGGCTTGTAAATATGCTTGAAATACATTCACTTGAGTCTCCTAACAACCCTGTGAGGGTTGTAAAATCAACTACAGGATCGATCATCTCCTTTTTTCAGAAGAGTAAACTGAGGTTCCAAATTAAGAGACTTGCCTGTGTTTGCACAACTAGTCAATGTCAGAGACAGGATTGGAACTCAGGTCCTCTGACCTCCTGGCCCAGTTCCAGGAATGATCCTTTGAAGGCTTTTATAAAGCTGTGTGCCTCATTCAAGCATGGCCAATAACATCTTTTGGATGACATCACAAGGTGCTGAAAGCAAACTAGGAAACTGAGGGAGCCCCCACCGTCTGGGGAACAGCTGAACAGCCATTGTAGATGGATGTAATGGAATGTAGCTGTGCCCTAAGGCGTGACCAAAGGGATGATTCCAGAGAAATCCAACCAAGTGACAAGAACCAGCAAGCAATCTATATGATGACAACAATATGGTAGAAACAAAGATATTTTAAAGATCTAGGATCTCAGATTAATACAAGAATGACCAACTGTGACTCCAGGGACTGGACAGTGAAACCTGCTGCCTGCCTCCTTAGGGTGAGGAGATGGAATCCTGGAGCAGAAAGAGACATGGATGGGGGGTCCCAAAAGTCTGAGTGCCATTGTAAGCTACGTTTAAAGCTTTCATAGCTTAAAGCCACTCTGAGACTTTTGGGACAACCTATATTTTTGGGACATGGTCAATAGGAGAAAGAATTTCTTTCTTTCTTTCTTTCTTTCTTTCTTTCTTTCTTTCTTTCTTTCTTCCTTCCTTCCTTCCTTCCTTGGCAGTGAGAGTGGGAAGGAGAGAAAAATTAATTTTTGTTAATTGGAAGAAATAAAATAAAATTAAAAAAAACAAACCAGGGATTTCTTTTCCCCTTTATAAAGGTGATGTTAGGAACAGCGTTAACACCTGCCAACAACATCGCCTCCCTACCCTCACCCCACCCCCCACCACTGTGGAGTCTTTTCTGCATGAAGTTGTTATGTCCCTGCCCGGATCCAGGACGGAAGGAACAGTGTTCGATCAGCATCTCCCTAGACTCAACGCAGACCCGAGAAAAGCCTCCTACCTTGTTATTGTTCTCATCCACAACCTACAGGAAGAGGCTTTTATTCGGTTTCTTTCTGCTCCACAGGAGGATTAGATAAGGGTGGGGACATATCTGAAGGGCAGCCGTGTTGAAGAGGGTTTAGGTTTGCTTGGTTGGCCCCATGGGCAGAAGCCATGGGGGGAATTTGCAAAGAAGTCATTTTAGGCTGGATGTTAGGAAAAACGACCACGCAGCTTCCTAACAATTGGAATCATCTCCCAGAGAACAGGGCTGGTTTTTCAGGTCAAGGTTGGACAAGATAACCTCTGAGCACCCTTCCCACTCTGAAGGTCTCTGGTTCTAGAATTGCCCTGTATCCAAGGGCTGGGCAAACAGCTCACAGTCTTCATTTAAACGAAACACAGGATGATGGGGACTTTTGACAAATGGGTGCCATTTTCCAATGAAGCAACATACTTTGCCGCTTGAGTCTGAGTCTTTTGTAAATACACTCAGTTTCTGAAAAGACTTTACGCACCTTTGTTAATGGGTGAGTGACAAACACTCCTGGTGGGGATGAGCTGTTGCTAAGTAAACGTAATGGCACTGAAACCTCCTATCCTTTTCAAGTGCTGAATCATGCTTTGCTTTTCTCTATCAAAGTGAGAAACTGTCATTTTAGGAGGCTGGTTACAGAAGGCACAGAAGGTGAGGGGATAAGGTAGTCATACTATTGAATAAGGTAGTCGGCCTCTCCAGAGGTATGGTTACATGTCTCCTTGAATCACAAGTGGGAAAATGTCAATTTGTCAAACATCAGTTTAACTATGAGTGTCTCTGGGGTGGTTTTCTCTGTCCATCCTTTCCTCCTTCCTTTTTTCTTTCCCTCCCTCCCTTCCTTCCTTCCTTCCTTTTTTCCTTCCTTCCTTCCTTCCTCTCTTCCTCTTTAGCCCTTTAGCTAGGCATTATTCAGAATTATAGCGCTGTGCTGAATGCACACAATAAAATTAGAGTGTTAGATTGTTAACGAGATGAAGACTCATCGTGTCTGTTATAGGGTGAGTTCAGACTCTGCCTCTTGAAGTGGCAGTTTTTATATTCAGAGCAATTGACAAAGATGGCACATATCAACAAGAACTCCTCCTTAACAGAGTTCTCGCAGCCTTTTGGCATAATATACATACATGTAAGTGCAATTTATGAATGACTCAGAAAGAATTCTTCTAAGAAACAGCCACCATTTGATTCATGCTTGTGATGGGGGAAAAGACATGGAGATAGCACTTGGGTCCATGTCTCCTGCTTCTGGTACCTTTCTGATATTGTATGTGGGAAGCTAGGTCAGTAAGTAGACCTAGAATCCCAGGGAAAAGTTAAAATGAGCCTCGCATTTTGGAGAATAAAGGGCAACCACGATAGTCCAGAACTTGTTAAAACAATAGTTTGGAGGGGCAGCTCGGTGGAGCAGATGGGGGCTGGTTCATGCCCTGTCTCTGACACATCTGAGCTGTGTGGTTATGGGAAGACCACTCTCAGTGCCCTGGGTGACCCTCTAGACCATAAATTCTAGGTGAGTTGCTGATCTGCCCAAGTCCAGGTAGCTGCTACGCTGGGAGTTCCTTATGCCAAAGACATCACAGGTCCAGATCCATGACAATACTGTAGGATGGCATTCCCGACATTGTTTGTCTCACAGAAACGTGTGTATCTAGGCAAGCCTGTCACAGTCAAACTGGCAAGTGTACCATGCTACATTAGCATTTTCAAAGATTTTCCTTTAAGCCAAGAAGCCAATACACTTTTATTAAGCACTTACTGTATCCCAGGCATGGCACAAAGGGTTGGGGATACA